GAGGGTGCGGCTCCCGGTGACCTCACTGCAGGACGGTGCGGGACGCAGGATGGCCGCGGCCCCCAGGAAGGCGCCCGCTCAGCTACCCACCTTCTTCCCTCTCGGCCCAGAGAAACCGCGTTTGACTTGGGCACAGGGGACAGTGTGGCTGTGACTGTGGTTCCCAGGCTGCCCCGAGGGATGGCCTAGCCTCAGTGCAGGAGGTCCCACCCCCACGGGCCTTTCCGGGCCTACGGCCTGAAGCATGTGACCCGGGACCTGAGTGGCATCCTGCTTGGACGGTGTGGCCGCTCATCCCGTCCTGTCGGGGCCCCTGCAGGGACCGTGAAAGGCAGCGCCGAGGCGGCAGGGCTGCATCCACGCCTGAGACTCCTGGGACCGTCTGCTCTGCGGGGCAGGCACTCAGAGACCGCTTTGTGCCCGCCTGGGAGGCTCCCACTGCCTGGGACGAGTGGTCATTCACATCGAGTGTTGGGCAGCCGAGGAGTGGTGGCCGTATTATGACTAAAATGTGAACAGTTGCCAAAGGGCTGTGTTGTGTTCAAATGGACTCGGAAATAAAGAGGCAGAGCTGCGGGCCGGCGGCCCAGAGGGTGTGCAGGCCCGACGCCTCTGTTCCCCCTCGCGCTGTTCACTCGGAGGCTGTGCCTCTTCCAGGGGCTGCACCGAGGGCGAAGCTGGACCCCGACCTGGGGGCCTGAGCCCCGGTGGACGGAGGGGAGGAGGGGGAGGCGACGGCATCCATCCCCCCGGCTTCTGGCCGCTTGGTCTTTTGCATCTTCTGTCCTAACCCTCACCCGCCCACCTCATCTTGGCTGCGCGGGTACAGCGCGCCCACCCGGCAGGGGTCAAGGAGGTTCTCCCTGGGACCAGCTGACCAGGCGCCCTGGCCTCCTGTGCGGCCCCGGAGCAGCTGTGCCTAGGACTTACCTGGGGGCTGCTGCAGTTATGCCCTCGCCCCCTCCATCCGCTCAGTCCTGGGACCGGGCCCGGTGGGTTGAGCCACCCGAAGGGGCTGGGCTGCCCTGGGAGGCGCCTGCTTCCCCTGCACTCTCTCCTCTCCTTCCCGCACTTGGCGCAGAGCCTCCGGGTTGCCTCCGCGCGTCCGGCGGCATCCGGCGAGCGGCGTTCTGTGGCCAGGCCCCTGCACGGCCGAGGTCAGATGCGCTCAGCAGACTGTCAGCCCGGTCAGCGTCAGGCACTCCGTCGAGGTCCAAGGAGGGCTAGTTTGTCAGATGCTCGGGAACCTGGCATTTCCAGGGCCCGTGTGGTTCTTGCGCGGAAGCAGGGTCTCAGCTGGACCCCAGGCCTTGGTATCACATCAGCGGGCACAGCCACGGCTCAGGGACTTGGGCTCTCGGCCCTGGTGGAGGGTGCCGCCCCTGGGCCCAGCTTGGTATAGACATCTGGAGGGCGCTGGCACCACGCCAGCCCTGAGAGCGCAGGAGGGCGGCACGTGGGTCGGGCCGACGGGGCCGAGGACCAGGGATGCCTGAGGAGCTCGAGAGCCCAGGGCTCCCACCGCGGCTCGCGGCTCCAGAAGACTCCTTGTGGCGTCCGCTGTCCCGGGAGCCCTTTCCCACCTGCAGGCCGGTCTCCTGGTCCCGAGCAGCCTCTAGGACGAGGTCGGTGACAAGAACCCCAGTCGAGCTCTAGTGCATCGTCAGCGACACCCCCAGGGCGCCCCGGGGGCCACAGCGCGCTGAGGCCTCTGGATCCCCCAGCTCCCCGACCCTTCAAGTAGGGGGCTCGCCAATGGGGCGGCTGTGTTGCGGGGAGGTTCCGGACTTGGGGTGTGATGCCTGTTGACCTGGCAGAGCCCGTGGTGGGGTCCGGGCGCTGTGACCGGGCCGTGACCCGCGTTTTCCCCGTGCCGCCGGCCCAGCTCGCTCGGCGTGAGGTGGAGCAGGATTCTGAGTTCCGGGAGGTTTGGCCTCAAGGAGGCCGGCGGGACGGGGCCTGAGGCCTGAGCAGCGCCCCCTCAGGGCCTGGGAGGCGGGGAGTCCCCTGTGCGGGTCCCAGCTCCCCGACATGCGCATCCTGTGGCCCGCATCCTGCCCCCCAGAAGCACGCCACCCCCGAGCCCCCACCCCAGGGCCGGCAGCTTTCCCAGGCCGCCCTCCAGCGAGCCTTGGCCATCTTGGTGCACTCAACACCTGCCCGGGGCTTCGGGCCCAGAGGACCCAGGAGGTGGAAGGGGCCCCGGGGGCTGGAAGGCACCTGGATCCCGAGGGGCAAGATGCTTGAGGCCTGGTCCGATCGCAGGAAGGGCCTGCAGGTAGGGTGTAGATTATGGGCAGTATGAGGAGGGGCATTGGGAACGACGGGCTGAGAGCTGGTTTGGGGGAGCCAGGGGTTGGAGGTGCGTTCACACCTATGGAAGCAGGAACACACACTCCACCTTTAGTCTCAGTGCAGACCTGTGTTCTGCTCAAGGAAGGGGAACCAGGAGAGGCAGAGCTGCTGTTGCCTTTAAAACAACACCCGGCCCAGCTCACAGGCACACCCGGCCCAGCTCACAGGCACACCCGGCCCAGCTCACAGGCACACCCGGCCCAGCTCACAGGCACACCTGGCCCAGCTCACATGCACACCTGGCCCAGCTCACATGCACACCTGGCTCAGCTCACATGCACACCTGGCCCAGCTCACATGCACACCTGGCCCAGCTCACAGACACACCCGGCCCAGCTCACAGGCACACCCGGCCCA